TGGGGTAAGTTCACCCTTTGCAAGTGTTCTGATGACATAATAAACACAGGCCAGCCATTGCAACCTGGAAACAAAAAATTATGGCACTATGATAGAATTTTCTTAATTTACTCAATAAATTGCTGAAGAAGTCCGAAAAACCACGTGTACACAGAGCTTGCTAAACACGATTATTAAAAATCTATGCCGATGAACACTATCAAGCGATTCAATTTGTAATAATATGACCGTTTGAAGTTTAAACTTGTCGCCGAGTCAAAGGGATCTAATTTATCTTTATTATGAACAAATAACTTATGTAATGAGGAGGGGGTTTTGAAAGATACTTTAAAGTGGTCTTTAAGTAAGCTTGCCACTTTATAGGATGCTTTTCCAATAAAGGTAAGAGAAATGTATTTCTTACTGGTGGTTAGTTCATGTACCATATTAGGATTGTTAATATAAACTAAGTTTTGTTGAATTTTATTTTGTTTATGTGTTAGCATTTTATCAATAATATCTAGTTCAAAGTTGTGATCTATAGCAATAGTTTTAATTATATTTAGTTCCTTATCTGGAATTTATAAATTAACTTGTAAATCTTGCTATTCTTTCTATGTGGGACGCACATTTCGAAATTTCAAGATCCGTTTAAAAGAACATTTGCGTTGTCTTAACCAAAATACAACAGGTTTTTCACATTTTGCCAACCACCTACTGGACTCAAATCACGACTTCGATTCAACTGAAGGTTTCGAAATCCTACATAGTTCCTACCATAGATTTACTCTTAATAGCTTCGAAAGCCTCGAGATATTGAGAAATTTCAAATTAAATCCTGTTGGTTGCTTAAATGCCCAGATAATGTCAGAAATTCCTCCTGTTTTCTCAACACTAATCTAAATTTATCTTTCTAACTTCCTTTTTTACCTCCCCTTTATTTCTATTCACATATTTTCTTGCAAGGGGTACATTTCAGTAAGTAATTTTTTTCCCATAAGAAACCAACGAGCACGTGTAAAGATTAGGTTAGATTGTCTGATATCCACATGCGTCATTTTCTTCTTTTATTCTTCAGTTGCTTCACAACAGTTAACCCAGTCATTTCTTCTTCTTTCTTCTTCCTACAACATCACATACACTTGGTGATTGGTTCATGGCCCAAATCTTATATAATAAATAATAAATATTTCTTCACTTATAGTTTACATCTTATTACCTATACCCTGTCATGGGTTTACCCAAGAATTTTTTTGTTAATACTTGCCACCACCTGTAGAGGCCTTAACTTGACAGGTCTCCTTTCAAAAATGTTAGTTTTTTGAAAAAACAAGGTTGTTTAAAATAAGCCTTATCTTTTAATCTGTTTAATGTATGTGATTTGTTTTGTATAGTCTTGAATATTTTAAATTTTACTATTTCAATTGACTAATATTTGTTTTTCAAATATTTTTAACTTTTTATTACTTGTAAACTTTGTTCATTTTACAATTTATTTCACCCAACATTTGATGAAACTTGTTTTGTAGTATTCCCTAGTGGATGGAGAGTATGGTTAGTTTTCTCTTTTTTACTATTTAATATATTGTTTGCTCTAAGTGTTAACACACTTTACACCACATATTCTCCTTTCCACTAGGCGAGCCTGAAGATGAAGTGATGACACTTCGAAACCGGTCGCACTCAATGTTTTGTTAAATAATTAAACATTGACTTTCCTTGTGAGATATAAAGGACTTTTTCTCCCCCTTCACCTTAAAATTACCTCAACTCACACATGGCTACCCCCCTTGTCAAAATTTAAATAGTTTGGCCGTTATAGGCAAACAATGACATTAAGCCCGCGGTACACTTTGCCCTTCCGCCATATGCCCAATTTTGGGACTTCTCTTGCCTTCTTCTGGGAATCAATAGTCACATTCCTTAAGTTCAAACCGCATTTTTGTTTTTTAAATATCTTAATTTTTAGCAAAGTTATAAAGAATTTAGTGTTTGAACATTTAACAAATTCAATTTTTCGACCTTCGCCGCCTCAAAATACTAAACAAATTTCAATTGTCCATATCGCGAGAACGGTGCATCGAATCAAAATTTCTTAAGAGACATGAAAATTAGCATTTTTCCTAAGCTTTCAAATGTTTTGAAAATAATAATTTATTTGCGACATGCGCCTGCGCAAAATTGAAAAATTGACAAAATCCAAAATTTCGGCACTTTCGAAAAACAGCTACATTTTGTTTTGCCTTTTTTCGAAAAGATCACCTCAAAATACATAGAATCCATTTTGTTTCATCTAATTACAATTTAATGTAAGCTCAAAACCCGTAATTTAATTCGATTATACGAATTAGTCTTGATAATTATGTAATTTTTAAATTTAAAAATTAAGAAGCATCGAATTCAACGACAAACGGCATAACGATTCAAACAACTGCAGAAAAACTTTCAAATGAAACACAAACTGATCAAGGAGAAGTTGAAAAACAAACAGATGCATTAACATTACCTTAATCCCTTGTAAGAGGTCCAGGACGTCTAGCTATTATGCGAAATGGATCAAACGAAAGACCTAAAAAGAAATATAACTTTATAGATGTTGTTGAAGAAACGCAGCTGGTCACTTCTGATTCAGATAATCCCACTAGTAGGAGAACACGCAGAAGAATGGAAGAGAGCAATGCACGATAAATTATTTTCGGTAGTTTTAAGTAATGCATGGATTCTAGTAGAGAGACCAAAGAGTAGAAAATTAGTAGGATGCAGATAGATTAAAAAAAAATATATATATACAGCACTTGGTGAATCAGAAAGAAGAAAAGCACGTCTTGTTGCCAAAGGATAGATTCAACTATCCGGTGTAGACTACTACGAGACAACACCAGTTACTCGTCAAAGTTCCATTCTCTTGTTACTTGCTTTATCCGTTTTAATTTTGTACCAAATGCATGTAGTTATGGCAAATATTAACGAAGACCTTGAAGAGGAGATCTACATCTAAAGGTTTTGTCGTGCAAGGAGAAGAAGACAATGTATGTTCGCTTAAAAAGGTCACTTTACGGACTGAAACAGTCAGAAAGACAGTGGTACAAGAAATTATACCACCATATTCAGTTCATTAGTCTTAAATTAATTAATGCTCCCAAATGTGTCTATATATCTCAAGAAAGTTCCATATTTCTTATTCTTGTCGTCTACGTTGATGATTTAGTTATAGCTACAAAATCAGAAGAAACTTACAATAAATTGAAACAAAATCTAGCATCTAAATTTAAAATAAGAGACTTGGGCGTATTACATTAATGTTTGGAAATTGAATTCAAATATTCTTCCAATTCAATATCAGTGTCCCAAAAGAAATACATTTCAGATATTTTATCAAAATTTAACATGTAAAACAACAGACCAGCCGATACTCCTATGTCCTATACCTAACTGTTTCGAAAATATTAAAACCTAGCTGACTTAAGAAGACGATTAAAGCTTGCTAATCGCAAGCGTTAATATGAAATTTATTACCGTTGTTTGGGACCAATAAAAAAATCGACTCCTATGACATTTATTCGTTAACTCCTTATTGGTCGTTCGCCGACTAACACCGACAATGACAACTATTTCATAGTTTTTGAATACGACTATATTTCGGAACACGCTCTTAATAACGAATCTAGTTACTCTTCCTTGTGTAAATGCGTCATTTTTATTCGCTCCTCCTAGTTTACAAACACAGTATAGCAATATTAAAAATGTTTACTACAATTTAGATCTTACGCCCCTTTCTGCCTATTGCCAAGTAGAAACATGACCCCTCATTATCCCTATGGAAACTTTTTAACAAATTTTTAGTCTTTTAAGTATTGAAAGAAAACTGTTTACTAGCTCTTGGACTATATCATTCGCACCGATTTCCTCGTGATTATCTGGTGATAAACAATCGTTTTTATCAAGAGGCCCGTGGCCTTTATTGATAAAAGTTATATATTTATCTGTAAAAATTAACAAAATCAGTCAAATAATTAGTTTTTTAGTTCCGAAAATTATAAGGTTATTGATCCGAAGAAAAATAGTAATAATAATAGTCTTTGGAAGTCGTCAAATAATATTTTTTAAATAACCCCTACAAAATACTAAAAATGGTTTTTTAGCCCGGCCATAGTCGAGCCCTTATTTTGAGCTCATTTGATCGCGTCGGGTTTGATTGGCCCACTATTTTAAAAAGCAATCAGAATTTGAAATAAGTTTCATTTGCTTGTTATAGATTTTTGCTACCTCCAGGTTGGCAAGAAGAGATTTCTGGAGAGGAGTTAGCTCTTCGTTTTTTTCTTCTATTGTTTCTACTTCCCGCTGTTATATATTCTACTTCTTTGTCTCATATTTCGTTAGACTTTTAGATTTTTCTTTGTTTAAAATATTAATTTGTTTTTGCATATTTTCCATATTGTTTTTCATTTGTTGCAATGCACTTTCTAGTTGCTGTTTTTCTTGTATCCAATCATTATATAATACCTATTCATTCTGACTTCTAGCTTTATTTTCATGAAATAAGGCCTGATATTGTTGAGCTAGGAGGTATTCTTCTATTTCCATTGTTTCCATATTATTTGTTTGATTTACCTGAATCGGGTTATGTTTTTTCCAAAAACCCTTCGACAGGTGTTGATTCTGTTTTTTAATTTTTTTTGACACATTGCAAAACTATTTAAATGGCATATTATTATTTTTATTTTTGTTCCTAAACATTACGTTTAGCAATCATTGTTGATTTTTTAAACAGTCACGATTAAAAAATATTTACACTGACCTAGTTACGAAGTAATGTTAACAAACATAGATCCTCACTTATCGACATCCGAATATAAACGGTGATGTGATACCATGTTGATACTAACTGCTGATAATCTTAAGATATTTTCGATAATTTCTGATCTTATGGACTAATAAACAATTTATTAATTAAATACGAAACATTTAATATTATTATTTTTTAACACCTTTTTTGATACCCCCTATATATTTTATTTAAGGAATTTAGTAGACGTCTGTCCCCAAGAAGTGCCGGATATAGCAGAAGAGTTATTAAAGAATTTAGGCGCAAGCACGACGGTCTTGCAAAAATCAAAAGAGTTATATAGCAGAGACATAAAAAATAAAAACAACCTGTTTTTCAACAAAAAAATGTACGATCTATACTATCCAGAAAAAGTGCCTACAATAGACATATTAATAGAAGAACATTTACCGCAACAAAGCAACAGAAACGATGACATAGAACCGGAATCGGAACTAGATATAGAAAACGAAGATGAGGAGCGAAAAACGAAAATACTCTCCAAAAAGGTTCAAATGTTAAACGATCATTTGGACGATGTTGGAAACAAATTAAAGGAAATTAAAGAAGGAATCGTAATTATTACTAAAAATATCGAATACTGTATTAAATGCTGCGATATACCAGAAGAAGTGGAAGAAATACAAGATAAAGAAAATGAAAAAGTGGTGAAAGAAAGTGAAGAACTCGTAATGGGTAAGATTTACTCAATTTCTTTTAGAGTTTTCCTGCCAAAAAAATGTCACCAAAAACTTTTAGTTTGGACAATAATAAAAACGCCTTGCTATCCAGATTATACGAAAATGATACATTAATACAAGAATATGCCTCCACTTCACTTAACTTTTATTTTCTTATTGCATTGAGAAATATTATTTGGAGCAAACTGGGGTCTATTCTGTAACAATTCCTTTATATTTTAACGGCCGTTAAAATATTGGAGGCCTTTAAAAATATTTTCGTATTTACTAAATTACTTCTGTTATTATTTAAACGGATTCCTTTAAAATACATTAGAGGACTATTTTAAAGAAATCCGTTTAAATAATGACAGAAGTAAATTAGCGAATAAAAAAATATTTTAAAAGGCCGCCAATATTTTAACGGCAGTTCAATTCTCTCATTATAGCATAATCAACAAGTTCAAAAGCGTGTTTTTGGGACATACTATTACGAAATTTATTTTTTTTTGAAAGAGTAAAACCAAATTTGGTAGATTTTCACACTTTTATTTTAAAAATAAAAGTCTGATGTGTCCAACACATGACTTTCCTATCTAGTTATTACAGGCTTTTTCCGGTTATTTTGTACAACCTATCGCAGCACCTCCATAAATGTTTAGAGGATAAACTAAATATATACATTTTCCACATACATTTACATCGAAACATTTTTCTATAGATATTCATTGAAAATGAAAATACTGAAAAATTTAAATTTTGCACTTTTCCTACAATTTTTCCATTACGGTCCATTTTAGAAAAATCATGTATAAACAAAAATTATAGAGATTAATATCGCAAACAACTTTTATTTCAACAATTTTGATAAAAATCAGAATTTTGCCCATTTTGTCAAATTTCTCGAATACGGACCATTTCAGGAAATTTTGACAAAAAGCAAAAATTTTATATAATAATATTTGAAGTAACTTTTAATGGAACAATTTTCTTCTCCAAACATAAATAACAGATATATTCCATAAAATATAAAAACGGCCTTCTATAAAGTACCCCCCCAGATGTTCCTACTTTGTCCAAAATCTAATCATTTCACGTCAGGCCGAAATAAACCTTAAGTTTAAAATTTAATGTTTTTTTCTTTATCCGTTTTTGAGTTTTCTTCAAAATTCGAAATTTACACATTTTCTCAAATATCTCGAATACGGTCCATTTTAAAGAAATTATGTATAAAATAAAAATTATAGAGAATTATATTACAAACAGCTTTTATTTGAACAATTTTTATAAAAAATTATTTTTTTTACATTTTCTCAAATTTCTCGAATACGGACCATTTTAGGAAAATTTTGCATGAAACAAAAATTATAGATAATTATATTAGAAGTAACTTTTATTTGTAGAATTTTCTTCTCCAAACGTAAATAACAGATATATTCCATAAAATATAAAAATGACCACCTATAAAGTACCCCCCCAGATGTTCCGACTCTGTCCAAAATCTAATCAGCTCATTGGACGCTGAAACAAAGCTTAAGTTTAAAATTTGGTGTTTTTTTGTGTATCGGTTCATGAGTTATGCGTTATACAGAGACACACACACACACACACACACACACACACACACACACACACACACACACACACACACACACACACACACACACACACACACACACACACACACACACACACACACACACACACACACACACACACACACACACACACACACACACACACACACACACACACACACACACACACACACACACACACACACACACACACACACACACACACACACACACACACACACACACACACACACACACACACACACACACACACACACACACACACACACACACACACACACACACACACACACACACACACACACACACACACACACACACACACACACACACACACACACACACACACACACACACACACACACACACACACACACACACACACACACACACACACACACACACACACACACACACACACACACACACACACACACACACACACACACACACACACACACACACACACACACACACACACACACACACACACACACACACACACACACACACACACACACACACACACACACACACACACACACACACACACACACACACACACACACACACACACACACACACACACACACACACACACACACACACACACACACACACACACACACACACACACACACACACACACACACACACACACACACACACACACACACACACACACACACACACACACACACACACACACACACACACACACACACACACACACACACACACACACACACACACACACACACACACACACACACACACACACACACACACACACACACACACACACACACACACACACACACACACACACACACACACACACACACACACACACACACACACACACACACACACACACACACACACACACACACACACACACACACACACACACACACACACACACACACACACACACACACACACACACACACACACACACACACACACACACACACACACACACACACACACACACACACACACACACACACACACACACACACACACACACACACACACACACACACACACACACACACACACACACACACACACACACACACACACACACACACACACACACACACACACACACACACACACACACACACACACACACACACACACACACACACACACACACACACACACACACACACACACACACACACACACACACACACACACACACACACACACACACACACACACACACACACACACACACACACACACACACACACACACACACACACACACACACACACACACACACACACACACACACACACACACACACACACACACACACACACACACACACACACACACAGACATCATCGCGAAAATAGTCAAAACGGATTCAGGGGACCTCAAAACGTAAAAATCCGTCGAAAACTCGAGGTCGAAAAAAATCATGATTCCTATACTTTCCTTATATCTGTATACAGATAGGAAAGTAAAAATTAAAAAAAAACACTAACATGACATATGTTTCGAAGTACAACTTCTTTTTCAAATGTGACTATTTACAATTCGGTATCCAATATATATTATACGAAATAATTTAACAAAACAAAATACTTAAGAAAACATCAATAACATTACAAAATAAACTAACTATTTAAAGTAAATAAGGGTACTTAGGTAATTATAATATCCATCAGATAACAATAAGATAGCCCATTACCGGGATTATCTCACAGAAAACTGGGAAAGAGATTTAATAAGGGTGAATTATTAATATCTAATTGATCATTTAGTAAGTTATCTGAATTTTTAAATCTATTTATTTCAAGTGTTTCTAAATGGTTTAATTTAAGGCTCTTATTTTCTACATGTAAAATTTCAAAGTTGTCTGTAAAAGAATGATTTTCAGCTAAAATATGATTTGAGTAAGTAGAATTATTTTTGTTTTTTGTATAGCTATTATAATGTTCGGAATAGCGTTTTTTGAAAGTACGGCCTGTTTGACCAATATACAATTTTGGACAACTACCACAATTTAATTTATATACCCCCGATTTATTATTAGGATTAATTTTACCCTTATTGTTTTTAATATACTTCCCTAGCGTATTATTGGTTTTAAAAGCTACGTTAATATTTTGGTTGTAAAATTTATGTTCAATAGCTCATTCGATTCGGAATAACGTCTAGGTCAATGTGTGAAGAAAAATTTTGCAGTGCATAAACAATTGCAAAAGTTATAAACAATTAAACACCTCAAAAACATGGTGTTTAGTTTTTCGCCTATAGTTTGTAAACTATAAATATTTTTGGATTTTTCAAAAAAGATCCTTGAAGAGGAGGAAATTTGCTATAAATAAGTTTCGACTCCCGGAATTGTACAGGGTTATTCATTATAAATTACCCACCCCTTATTATCGTTATTATTGTCTATAGAAAAAAAAGTTTCAAATAAAAGTTGTGTGGTAATAACTGAATTTTGTTAAATTGCTATCAACTATACAGTGGCGTGCGGATTTAAAGGGATCCAAAAATATAATATATTTTTTTAATGGGACACCCTGTATATTATTTTATTTTTTTATTTGTTATTTTTTTCTGATTTCAAAAATATATAATATATTACCCCTACCTTATACCGTTTTTGAGTTATCATACGTCGAAGATCTTGTGTAACTAGTTACTGCAAATATGAAAAAGTTCTTATTATATTAAAGTAGGCTATGAAAATGACTACTATTATGTTTGAAATAATCAAAATGGTTTACAGTGAGGAAGAAAAAGTCCAAATATTTATATGTTATATGCAAAATACCAAAAATAAACGTGCAAGAAAAAGAGCATATTATTGTATCCAAATCTTCCAACACCATCAGAAAATACTGTAAGGGGTTTTCTCGCCTCAGAGAAAACGATTACTTACAAATGACGCCTGTTGACGGGACGGCTCTCGGGCGCCAGATTTGATGTGTGGTTTACTCCACAATCTTTCGAAACGGCGTCGAAAGTACTCGGGCAGCACAGATGGAGATGAAAAATTCCAGGGGTCGTTGGTCACTCAGACACAGGTAATAAGTAACCACAAGTAACGTGCTTTAATCGTTACTTGTGGTGATAAAGAATTTCTCACTGCTGAAATAAAGGGGGAAGTAAATTAGGGATCAGTAACCTCAGTAATAGCCAAGGTAACGTTGACACATATATTGAATTTTTAACTATTTACAATAAATAATTTGTAAGTATTATTTCAACGCCCACCCCCGCTCGTAATTTTAAAACCCTGAACAAAATAAAAACAAACAGATCGGCCAGTAATGATTAGTCTCAATCAGACGGTAGAATTAAAATTAGAAGAAAGATGCTCGGTGGCAATAGTATCTAATTAATAAATTTGTCGGATCGGTGGTTGAGCCAAAACGAAATCAAA